CCGCCCGCGCCAAAGCCGCTGGTGCCCGATTTCCCAGCACCGAGCTTTGCTTTCCCTCCCCCTTGTCCTGCCGCAGGTAGGGGCCCAGGGCGCAGCAGTCTGGCCCCGGGCTGTAGGCTGAGGACCCCTTGCTATGGGAAACCCCTGCCCAGCTCACGATGGTGCCAGGGTGAACCAGCTCCCCAGTGATGTCTCAGCACAGAGCCGCCTGGCTCAGGTCCCTGCGCCCCGACGTGCGAGCTGGGCGCTGCTCCAGCCCCGAGAGCACAAACCCCCCTGGCACCAGAAAGCAGGGACAGCACCTCTGCCCCTCCGCCGCACCTTTCAGGAGGTCCAGGCACTGGAACTGGCATTGGTGGTAGCAGCACGTCTTGCCCGGGGCACACGGCCTCCGCGGGCCGCACAGGGGAGGAAAGGACCAGACGCAGCGCAGGGTGGGCGGCGGGCACTCCACTGCAGAGAGAGAGCTTGGTCACGGCGGCCCCTCGCCGCACTGCGCCGTGCCACACCGCGTGGCACCCGGGCAGGGCCCTACTCACCCTCCTCCCCCCGCCCGGAGACCGCCTGCAGGCTGGCCCAGAGGGCGAGGATCCCCAGCAGCAGGAAGACGCCCTCGCACTCCATCGGCTGCCGGGACCAGGGCTGCACGCTGTGAGCCCGCGCTGCGCCGGGAGGGGTTATAAGCCTCGCCGCGCTGGGGCTGGCTCTCGGGGAGGCGGCGGCTCCGGTGCCCTGTCGGAGCCTCCCAGGGCCACCTCCCAGCCCCGGCGTCGCACAGTCTGCGGTGCTGGGAGCACGGCCAAGCTCGGAGCACGTCCAGCCCCGGGCAGGCCGGGAGCAGGCAGGGTGGAGGGGCAAAGGGACGGTCTCTGGGCAAACCCCTTTGATCCCATTTCCATGCAGCCTCACCGCCGTGCCCTGGGCACTCGACCTGCTCCCGCCCCGCCCGTGTCCTGCCTTCTCCCCTCCACGCACTCATCCACGCTGGGGGAGCCCGAGTGCTCGGGCGGGGGGTCTGCATGGTGTATCAGGGGGATGCCGTCCTGGCTTGGGGTCAGGGTCTCCCGGGGGCAGGCACCCAGTGGAGCTGTGCCCACCTGACCCATTCCCCTGCGGCCCCCCGGGAGCAGGGCTGGGACCCTGCTGCAGGAGCTCTTGGCCTCACGGCTGCCCCCTCCCTGCTGCCCCCACCCGGTCCGGGAAGATGCGGTGGCCTGGGAGCGCCCGGCCGTGCTGGACCCGGTGCCAGGGAGCCCCTGGGAGCCGGCGGTGCCGTCAGAGCCCTGCTGCCCGACCTCCCCAGCGAGGAGCCCCGGCGCGGCGCGGCGCGGCGC